CTTTACTGAATTTTTGCTTTTCTTGCCACAGCAGGGAAACCAAGCAAAAATGGTTCATGGAAATCTAATTGAAAACCCTAAAGCTATAAACAGAACTCCAAAATTGTGTAGTTGAAATGAATGGAACTTCCCATGATGTGCATTTTTCCCTCCTCAATAAGTACCTTCTTGTGATGAGGCTGAAAATCTGCTTAACATAGGCAGCATGAAAGACCTAGAGAGTAGACTTTTCTATGCAAATAGATAAGGTCTATCAGGCCTACCTAATTTTTAGGAATTAAGGTGTGGGGAAAGATTCTGAACTTAAGGTAACAGAGCTGGCCCAACTGGCTATTGCTCTGTACATTGTACAACCTTTGACACAGTGGCTGTCAGATTTTTCCAGCCCTGAATCTTATCTTTTTTAGCCGTGTATTGTTAAATTCCTGTAAACTGGTGTGAGAGGCTTGACAGCCAAGAGCCAGGGTTTGTATGTTGAAATTCAGCTGCATCTGGATTGTATGAGAAATTAAGTAGATGCAATGCCAGAGTAATAGACGCTGGATGCTTTTGTGTGGAATGCTTCTGGTCACTTTTGCTAAGATAGTGCTGAGTTTCTTACAGTGCCCCCCATGAACAGGATCTCTAACAAACACAGTTGCAGCATATTAGATTGGAAAATGTTTTACTTTGAAACAGAACTATCCATGTTTTCATACCCTGTGTGGTATATTCTGGTTTGCAAATACCATTTTTTATCGTATGAAACATCCTCTCTTCATGTTTTGTCAGAAACATCTCTCCATTTGTAACAATATGCAGTGTGTATACATGAATACATAACGTATCTATTATGTATACATGTAAAAGCAAATGTGTGGCTTCATATCTCATGTTAAGAAAAGGCCATCCTTTAACAATAAAGCCTTACAAAATTTTATATAGTGTAAACAAAAGTTATGAAGCTATATATATAAAGTTAAAAGGTTTAAATGCAGTTCTGCTTATCTTAGTGTAAAACTAAGTGCTTCGGTCTTCACTGGCAAAGGCTCTGACCTCACCACCCAAATCTTGGAAGGCAGACACAGGGACTGTGAGAATGAAGACCTTGGGCACACTGTAGCAGAGGATCTGGTTCGAGACCATCTTAAAAACCTAAACGTACACAAGTCCATGGGTCCTGATGAGATCCATCCGCGGGTCCTGAAGGAGCTGGCGAATGAAGTTGCTAAGCCACTGGCCATCATATTTGAGAAATCATGGCAGTCAGGTGAAGTTCCCGATGACTGGAAAAAGGGAAATGTAACCCCCATTTTCAAGAAGGGGAAAATGGATGACCCGGGGAATTACAGACCAGTCAGTCTCACCTCTGTGCCTGGCAAAATCTTGGAGAAGATTCTCCTGGATGGCATGCTAAGGCACATGAAAAACAGCATATTTTGGTGCTTGGTGACAGCCAGCATGGCTTAACTAAGGGGAAATCCTGCCTGACCAATTTGGTGGCCTTCTATGATGGGGCTACGGAACTGATGGACAGGGGTAGAGCAGTTGATGTCATCTACCTGGACTTGCGTAAAGCTTTCGACACTGTCCCACACAACATCCTTGTCTCTAAATTGGAGAGATGTCAATTTGATGGATGGACCACTCGGTGGATGAAGAACTGGCTGGGTGGCAGCACACAAAGAGTTGTGGTCAGTGGCTCAATGTCCGGCTGGAGAGCAGTAACGAGTGGTGTCCCTCAGGGATCCATGTTGGGACCGGTCTTGTTCAACATTTTTGTCACTGACATGGACAGTGGGATTGAGTGCACCCTCAGCACGTTTGCCGATGACACCAAGCTGTGTGGTTCGGTTGATACCCTGGAGGGAAGGAATGCCATCCAGAGGGACCTTGATACGCTTGTGAGGTGGGCTGACGCCAACCTTACGAAGTTTAACCATGCCAAGTGCAAGGTCCTACACCTGGGTCGGGGCAATCCCAGGCACAGCTACAGGTTGGGCAGAGAAGAGATTCAGAGCAGCCCTGTGGAGAAGGACTTGGGGGTGTTGGTTGATGAGAAAATGAACATGAGCCGGCTTCAGTGTGTGCTCGCAGCCCAGAAAGCCAACCGTATCCTGGGCTGCATCAGAAGGAGCGTGACCAGCAGGTCGAAGGAGGTGATCCTGCCCCTCTACTCTCGTGAGACCTCACCTGGAGTATTGTGTGCAGTTCTGGTGTCCTCAACATAAAAAGGACATGGAACTGTTGGAACAAGTCCGGAGAAGGGCCACGAGGATGATCAGGGGACTGGAGCACCTCCCGTATGAAGACAGGCTGGGAAAGTTGGGGCTGTTCAGCCTGGAGAAGAGAAGGCTGTGTGGAGACCTCATAGGAGCCTTCCAGTATCTGAAGGGGGCCTATAGGGATGCTGGGGAGGTACTCTTCATTAGGGACTGTAGTGATAGGACAAGGGGTAACAGGTTAAAACTTAAGCAGGGGAAGTTTAGATTGGATATAAAGAGGAAATTCTTTCCTGCTAGGGTGGTGAGGCACTGGAATAGGTTGCCCAGGGAGGTTGTGAATGCTCAGTCCCTGGCAGCATTCAGGGCCTTGGGTGAGATGATTTAGTGTGAGGTGTCCCTGCCCATGGCAGGGGGGTTGGAACTAGATGATTTTAAGGTCCTTTCCAACCCTAACTATTCTATGATTCTAAAACCAGAACAGAAATTGTCAGTAGAGTACTTTTAGAGTTTAGTCATGACTTTGGATATGGAAAGCAAGACAGACAAGGATTTAGAGCTAATGGGAAGGGGCAAAGAGAGGAGAGAGGGGATGAATTCCTGAGCAAAAACCTTAAAAACAGATGTAAAAAATAGGAAAATGAAGGTGTATCCACTCTGAGCACGCTTGACATTAACTTGTAACAGGTAGGGCTGTGCTGCCTGTTAAACGAAAAACCACAACTCTGTTGAATAAGGGACACAGACCAAGCCAACTGGAATGAGAAAAATCTTGTTGCCCTTCTGTGGAATATCCACAATGGCTGAATGTTTTCTGTGCATCCATGATCCATTTGGTGTCTGGTTCTGCACTGCTTCTTGTACACAATATTTACTGTAATCAGAGACGTCAATCAACCATAACTTTTTTGGGGCTAGAGATGGGATTATGTGGTTCTACCAGTCCTCCCAGATCCTAACATTTAAAGAGAAAAACCCACTGGTTTATGTTTGTTTTCTTTTAAAATGGTTGCTAAAATTTGTCAGTCATTTTTCTGTGGACAAACACTGTATTTGATGCTGCCATTGGCACTTCAGGGATGAAAGGCTTTGAATGTCATGCTCTCCGGAGTATAACTCTATGCTTGTTCATTTTCTCTTAGGAGATTTGGATGTGCTGTTGCAAAGCCTTGATCTTCACTATGCTCATAGGCTTTTCACAGTGATTATGAGATGGGTCCTAAAACGATACTGTAATTACCATTATTCATAGTAATGACTTATTAGTAAAAATTACTAATAATCTTAATAAACCCCTAAGGACAAATCCTGTAGGTGGAAGCCACAGGTGGGTTCATTATAACAGGGAGACTTGTTCCTTCTGCCAATTTTGTAATAAAATAATGAATTCCCAGCTTTTTTCAAGGGTGATGAAGAGATTTCAGGAGAGAATTCTCTCCAACTGATAATGTTTTGCCCACCTGAAAGGCCCCAAACATGAAGAGTGGAAGGATGAACGGGTCTTTGCCCTGATTCCTGTGAATAATTCTAGCAGCAAATATAACTTATTTCCATCTAGCCTTCTGTCTCTCCTTTAGTTTCTTTGTTTCTTAATTTTCATGGCCTTTTGTGTTTTCATAAGGCGGTAGAGTATGTGGTAGACAACAAGTATAGTATTCATAGCTTGGAGGTAAATATATTAGTTACCAGAAAGTTCGCAGAAGACTTCTTTCTCAGAGGATATGTATGTGTGTGTGAACTAAGGAGAATGCTTAAAGCTGTGAACAAAGGATAAAGTAGAGGGGTTGAAGACCTGGTAGCCTGCCTTCAGTTAAGGGGGAAAACTTTGTGGACAGGCAGGGAAATGGTATATTGTTTTAAACTTACTAGTTAAATGTAGGATATGTCTGTTATCCCCATATACACCCATGAGGAAGGAGAGAGAATGATCTCTTCCCTCGTCTAAGAACTGGGGATTAGAACTGGATGATCTTTAAGGTCCCTTCCAGCCAAATACGTATTTTAGGTATTTATATTCTTAAATTCACTTTAAAGAAATGTGCTCTGGCTGTGTTTAGCTATGGCTTTAAAAGAACAACAATCAAAAGGAACAGCATTCCACAGTCATTTAGTCTTTAGAGCCAATAACAAAATCCTTAGTCCCTTGTACAAGTGCGTCTCTACCCAGTGGTTGGTCCGATAGGCAGAATGTGCCTGCAGCTCTGGCACCATGGAGGGTGGAGAGGTGAATCCTCCTCATTGGCAGGGAATGCTCCGTGCAGATGAAGTCATGGAATCCCGAACGGTGTGCTCACATTTTTTCAATAAGTGTTTTTCGTCACTACAGAGCTTTATATAACAGCAGTAAAGGCAAGAAAGGAAATTGGAAACACAGCTGAGACTGCATCTAATACTTCATAATGGCCTGAAGTTCTTACTGTTTATTAAAACTAACACCCCTTGTCAGGGTGTTGATCAGAAATTCTCTGCAGTCTCGTCTCTTTGATCCTTTCATTTTACAAACCAGATATTTGTTGCCATTTCTTTATTTAGTTTTACATCTAACCCATTGAAACTCAGTTTTTCTAATAATGCTGCGTGATAAAGAGTAATCCTGAATGCAGTGAGCCAACAAACTCATCACTAAACAAGTATTTCTACTCCCAAAGAAAGGAGAACTCTAGTGTAACACAAACAGAAATGGTTAAACGTGGCACCAGAAAGCATGCTTTCAAAAACTTCTGGTGTCTCTGGGCCTCATGCATATAGTGCTGTCCACTTGGAGTGTGGGCATAATTTGTTCTAATATACACATTTACCTTTTGTTTCAGCAGCTCCCTGGCTCCTGCACATGCAAACATTTGAATTTCCTGTTGGCTCAGAGGTGAGATTTATAACATTTATTAAAGTTGCTTTTCACTGTGAGTTTACTGGGCAGAAAGCCTAAGAGGGCCTTTTTTTTAAGGGGGTTTAATTGCTAGAATTTACCAGAGGGGTGAACATTATGCTTTTTTTGCAGCACAGCTATCCACTAAGATTGCCAGGTGTTGAATTTCCCTAGAGGTTCCCTATTTATTGAAGGAATTCATGAAATACCCATCTATCCAGAGCTGGGGCTCCTGCCATCTCTTTCCCATTCATCGTCTTGACTTTATTACCTTCATGGCTGCTTTTGAATTTCGTGATTGACCCTGTTCATTTCTGTCCATTCCTCTCCGTAAGTGTCCTCCCTCCTCTACACTTGAGCACCCTGCCCATAAAAAATGGGCCAGATTTGCCTCAGATTTGAATGCTCCTGAAAGCCTTTTGCTATGGTGTGGCTGCGGGTACAGAGGGACAGTTCAGCGTTGGAAGTATCCTGGTGCTCTCTAGTAGGGTGGGAAGGAAGATGAACAGGGGGCAGGGAAGACAGAATAAGTGGAGGGAAGGGTGAAGAGCAAAGAGGTATTTTGCAATGTTTCAAATAAAACTCTATAAATAGCCCTTTAAAATCCATGAATGGACTTCTCAACAGATGGCAGCCCTACTGTCAAGCGAGCCCAAGGTAGGCAGACCATAATTGTTAGCAAGTGTATTGTTAGGGGAATTTACTAATTTACTGATGCAGCAACCACTTGAGTTAAGGAATAAATTGGAATATTTTGGTGCATTTCCTTGAAAAAGTCATCCACTTTTAAGTGTATGTATTGAAATGACAAAGTCTTAAATGGGGGTCTCCTTTGCTAAACAAAAGAAATGCAAATTGCAGTTCAAGATTTATATTATGATAAAAACCAAAACACAAAAGAGACATTATCTTGCAAAAATATAAAAGTACATTGCTTCATGAGCCTATAATGATATAATGTGATGTTGATGTAGTTAAAGATGTCAGAAGGGAGACAATGACCTTAAAAGTTTAACACAGACACATTAATATTGATTGATTTTTAAGAGATTGAACAGCAAGAATATATCTATATGTAGCCTGGATATTGGATTGTTTGAAAATTTGAGATGAGATACAGAACATTTCGGTCTTGTAATGCTTTAGACCTAACAGCAAGAACATGCTTTAAATGCAGCCATTTTTACTACAAGAAACTGGATGATTATTTGCCTTGAATTTAGCAGACTGTAAACCTATTTCTCATAAAAATCAGTGGTGTTTGACAAAGCTGGATGATCATTTCTGGCTTAACCACAAACGCAGGTCTGCCGTGTGAGATGTCACAAAAAATATAGGGGGTTGTTTTTTTGGTTTGGGGTTCTTTCACCCTGTTCTATACATATGTATGTAGTCTTACAACTGTTTTGTACACACACATGCACACATTCCTATAACATAGTGAGAAGTGTAAAATCTCAGCACCTTCTGGCCTTGTGACTGTGCATCTATCATGTCATTTTTTCTTCCTACTTTTCCCCAAGCTGGGAGATGTCAATAACACTTCTTATTTGAATTTAGCCTCATCTTTTATCTGTGTTTATGCCAGCAAAGTCACAAAGAAACAAGCCTTGCATTGAGGTGGAAGGTGCTAAATATTGTAGGGTTTTTTTTATTCCCTTGAGGCAGTTCATTTTATGATCTCAGGCTGATGAAAGTTACATCTCCTTCACAAGTGAGCTTTACTCTTAATGTAGAGACTTCCACTTGTCAGAGAAATGGAGATATTGGGCATGGTTGGCCTCAGACCAGACCATAGATGCTTCGGAAACAGGGATTAGGAATTTAACTTGGAAAAATCAGCTAGCAATAGAGAAGAAGTCTGACTTGTATGAGATGGATCACTTTGCTGAGAAGTGATCCTGCAGCATTGTACAAGCTGGAAGTTTTCATTCGGGATCAGACCTCAGGAAACATAGAATCATAGAATCATAGAATAGTTAGGGTTGGAAAGGACCTTAAGATCATCTAGTTCCAACCCCCCTGCCGTGGGCAGGGACCCCTTACGCTAAATCATATCACCCAGGGCCTCGTCCAGCCTGGTCCTGAACACAGCCAGGGATGGAGCATTCACAACCTCCCTGGGCAACCTATTCCAGTGCCTCACCACCCTAGCAGGAAAGAATTTCCTCTTTATATCCAATCTAAACTTCCCCTGCTTAAGTTTTAACCTGTTACCCCTTGTCCTATCACTACAGTCCCTAATGAAGAGTCCCTCCCCAGCATCCCTATAGGCCCCCTTCAGATACTGGAAGGCTTCGCAGCTTCATTTCCCAGCTCCTTCAGGACCCGCGGATGGATCTCATCAGGACCCATGGACTTGTGCACGTTTAGGTTTTTAAGATGGTCTCGAACCAGATCCTCTCCTACAGTGGGCCCAAGGTCTTCATGCTCACAGTCCCTGCGTCTGCCTCCCAGGGTTTGGGTGGTGAGGTCAGAGCCTTTGCCAGTGAAGACTGAGGCAAAGAAGTTGTTCAGAACCTCAGCCTTCTCCAAGTCCTGTGTAGCCAGTTCTCCTGAGAGCTTCCTGAGGGGACCTACATTCTCCCTAGTCTGTTTTTTATTTGCTATGTACTTGTAGAATCCCTTCCTGTTATATTTAATACCTCTAGCTAAGTTTAATTCTAACTGGGCCTTAGCTTTCCTAACCTGGTCCCTAGCTTCCCGGACAACATCCCTGTACTCTTCCCATGCCACCTGTCCTTGCTTCCACTTATTATAAGCCTCTTTTTTCAATTGAATTTTCCTCAGGAGCTCCTTATCCATCCAAGGAGTTCTCCTGGCCCTCCTGCTGCACTTCCTTCTGGTTGGGATGCAACACTCCTGAGCTTGTAGCAGGTGATCTTTGAATATCAACCAACAGTCTTGGGCCCCTCTGCCCTCTAGGGCTATATCCCATGGAACCTTCCTAAGCAGGTTCCTGAAGAGGCCAAAGTCTGCTCTTTTGAAGTCCAGGGCAGTGAGCTTGCTGCACGCTCTTCTCACTGTCCTGAGGATCTCAAATTCGAGCATCTCATGATCGCTGCATGCAAGGCTGCCCTGGAGTGTCACATTTCCAACGAGCCCTTCCCTGTTGGTGAGCACGAGGTCAAGCATGGCACCTCTCCTTGTCGGCTCCTCTATTACTTGCAGAAGGAAGTTGTCTTCCACACAATCGAGGAACCTCCTGGATTGCTTGTGCCGGGCTGTACCGTCCTTCCAACAGATGTCAGGGTGGTTGAAGTCACCCGTGAGAACAAGGGCCTGCGAGTGTGAGGCTTTTCCTATCTGTCTATGGAGTGCTTCATCCAACATGAGGCAGATAAACATAATGCACAGGCCACATTTATAAAAATGAATCATTAGTCTTTTACGTTCTTCTCCCCACATATAAAGTGATAGAAAATCAGTATCTGAAGGAAAGAAGACAGCTGAGAACCTGGAGTTCAGTGTAGACATTCTGCATAATATAGAATTCTTGTCTTCAAGAAGCAAAGACAAGAAAAATTATCATGTGGCTGTTTTGCATCCAGATTCCATTTTTTTAAATATATAACCAGAAATAGAAAAAGATGGATACTTCTGGGGAGAACTGTCAAACAGTGATGTGTCTGGGTGTCGTACCTGCATCCTGTTGACCTCTGCTTAGTTTCACCACTGTTAAATCTGCTTTGGCCTTCCAGTATGGGAAAATAGCCCTAACAACCTATTTAGTAAAGCAGGGAAAGCACAGTGTCTCCAAAGGGCCTGATCTTAGTGAGCATCCAGAATACCAGAAAGTCAAGAAATTTGAAGGCAGTCAGACTTGATTTAATTATTTTCTACTACAAATCTCATTTCAGGGAATGATTAATGGGAAAAGAGACATAAATGGCAAAGTCTTGATCAAGGGAGCTGCTGTCAGGGTACCATCTAGATAAATTAGGAAAAGAATGCTCAGGTTTCTGTGAAAGAAGACTAATGACATTAAGTCAAGATGAAATGGAAAGGAGCAGCATTGCAGGTTGAAAATCATAAAAGACCAGCCTGCCCTGACAAGAAACCCTTAACTGAAAAGTAAGTGGAAATGCTAAGGAATGACTTTCTGTCAGTGCCAGGTCTTGAAGTTACACAGGGCTGAAGATGACCCAGACACCAATTTTCCTTTTTGTGACCTGTCAAAACAAGTGAAGGAACGTTCTGGAAGCATCTGAAACAGAAGTTGTTAGTCGCAGCCCTACACCCTGCAGGTGCTCTGCATCTCATGTGCTCACTCTACCTAGTGGGTATCAATCCCTTCACTTAAGTCCAGACCATTTCCAGCTGGTGGCAAGCAGACAGTGGGTAAAAGGGGAGTGTGAAACCTGCAGTCAGTAAATCTTAATGTAGTGTAAAGAACATGTTTAGAAGCAAGGAGGGATAGCTGTAGCTGAGATCATGGGGAGATTTTACAAGTGAGCTGAATGTATTTGTGCAAAGGAAGATTTCTTAGAAGGTAAGATTTGTCTTTTGCTTCACCAAAAAGGATTCTAAGAAAGGAAATTAAAAACCCACTGAAACATATCTGTGGTTAAAAGTGTACTCTTGGAACTCTAGAGAGCTTAAAGCAAATCAAAATGCACCCTTTCTCAGAAAATGTTGAATTCTCTTTAAGTATATATTTAGTCTTCTAAGAAACACTAACATTCCAAACCGAAGGAGCAGACCTTCCATTGGAAGTTTTCTAGCTTCAGGTTTAGATTATAATATAGAGTAGCTTTTCTGCAGCCAAGTACTTAGTGTGATGGGTACTAAAACTGTATAAGATTAGCTAATGTACTTTTCTGTGAATGTCAGGCTACAGCATTGTACCTGACTGCAGTAGCATGAAGTTATGCTTCAACAGCGTTCCATTGTAATGGAGGATTTTGAAGGCAGGGAAACAGTCTCTGGAGTGTTGCACATCAGCAAGGAATTATTTGTGAAGGTAGAAAATAGGGGAAGAGTTTGAACTGATGATGAGAACAACTAAATGGGGAGCGGCAAAACTTCCAATATTAATATTGCACCTAGCTGTATAAAAATAACTAAATGAAGCATGTATTTAAAATTTGGTGAGAAGCTTTTGTACATTTTAGTTCTGTTTGGCTCAGCGGGTGTGCTGCACTTTAGACTTCAGTCTCCCAGGCTGTCAATCCAACAACTTTCACAAGCACTATATTCACTTAAAAGCTGAAAGAGAAAAATAGAAGGGGGTGATGTTAATAGCACTTAGCACTTATATAGCTTTTTCCTTCCTGAAAGTACAGTGCAAACATGAGGTAATTAACAAGTACTTTGTCTTGGAGATGCAAATGTGTATCTAAACAACCTTTAAGTAAAGAGAATACAGGCATGTAACACCAATCTGTGCCCAATTGCACATTTTAAAGGGTAAACATTACAAAGTGGCATTTATGGTATAATTTCTCCCTGTAGAGTGTTGGTAAGTCCAGCTTGTGGAAACCAGCATAGTGTATTTCTGCATGCAGGGCTCCTTCTTCATTGTTTGAAGAACTTACTGCAATAACTTCAGATTTTGTTTGATGAACTGCCTGCTGCAGGAAACCACTGGCAAGTTATAGAAGGAGGTGTGTTGTTTGAGTAGAGTCGAAATGTGTAGTTAGGTTACACAGATGTACGGGCAATTCAGACTGTCAACAGCTTCTGAGCAAGCTGCTGTGCCTGCTTCTCTCCATCAGCTCCATCATCTACCCACCTGTGTATTAGGTATTATGAATCTGGCCCAAAAGTTTTGTACTCTTGGACAGAGAGGCATCCACCTAATCTGGTTGCTTAAAAAGTTCAAAGTCTTCGAAGGTGAGAACCAGAAAGGAGAGATTGAGCTGGCACTGAGAGCACTGAAATCCTTTTGAGGGGGTGAAGGGACAGACATTAAGGATAAAACTCCAGGTCGTAGACTTGCCACTTCTCTAGAAATGAGGAAGAGAAGTGTTGGCAGCTCTGTTTTCAGTATGCTGCTTTTTCTGCTTAAAATAAAAGCAGCGTTTGCAAAGCTGGAAGTATCATAAGTCAGTTTGATAATTAGGGAGTTGTTCTGAGCCCTTCAACTACCAAGGGCCATCAGCACAAATCGGCCAGGATGCAGAGCAAAATCTAGTGGGGGAATTGGCTGTTTCACTCTCCTCTTCATTCTCAGGCCATTATGACTTTAGGGTGGCAAATCTGTCAATTTTGCAATTTCCTTCAGTAATAGAGTTTTGGCAGAAGCTGATGCCTCTGCTGTTTTGTACTCATGCACAGTTAGGTAACCAGCGCATGCCCCATTTAAGAGGGGCACAGAAAGCTTGTCAAAGTTACTGCATTATAGTCTGTCTCTCTGTGCTGAGCTCAGCTGCTTGAGAGCAGAGGAGGTGTGAAAAGGCTTGTTAATAAAAGTCTGTTTAGATTTCATTACTGTGAGCAGCCAAATCAAGACACTACAGATCTTGCCAGCCCTCTGAGAATTTCAGTCCTCTCTGGAAATACTTTCTTTCCTGCACTGGTTATCTTTCCCAGTTGAACCTTTATGCATTGCAAGCAGAGCTCTCCTCTGCTGTCTTTGAAGGATAGAGAGAATTAAGACTCCCTTCCAATTGTAGAGAATGGTGAGTGAAAGAAGGAGCAGGCCGAGTCTCGTTTCTCCTACTCGTACACTGAAGAAAAACCATCCAGATCAGCCTTTTGTTTCCCCTTTTTTATTTTTAGTACTAGAAAGGGGAACTCTTTTTTTTGCTGCAGGAGGAACGAAGGTGACTGGCATAGAGAATGGGCTGGATGTTGCAATCTGGCAGACTGTCATTGCAGAAATGCCAGGGAAAGGGCATAACTAACAGATTGGGCCATGGATAGGCAATTATAGGTTGGTTATGTCCCGCTCGTAGTTGGGATTTGGGGAAGTCTTGTCAAGCTCTACCATGCCTTTTGCATTGTGCCAAAAGCATCTTATTGACTAGATCTAGGGAAGTCTCCTACCAAGAGTAGGAAGAGAGCATGCAAGCACAGTATCTTTGGCTACATGACCAGCCCTAGTCTTTAAGCAATTTGAGGACTTGAGTGATCTTTTTCAGATCACTATGGAAGAAAAATGCTAACCTGTGGCAGACTTGGCATGTGGTATGGAAGGCCTTCCCCCCCCCCCCCCCCCGAACATTTAACCTCTCCACTTTCATAACTATGATTTCCTTTGTTGTGGTCTTTTAAATGTTCTTCAAGGTATACTTAGATATTTATTAAAGCTTTTTAATGCTTAAGTCATGATGAAAGCAGATATAGGTCTCCTAACCATAAATGCTGTTCTTCCTCTCTCTACTGGCATAAACAATCACCTGAATATACTGACTGTCAAAACCCAGCTAGCAATAAATGACATGAAATGGTTGCTGAGAAGCTGGGTCAGTCCTCTTCACCATATATTCCCCTGTGTTACACCTTATAAATTCAAAGGGAATTACAAAGGTTAATAAATTCTTATTTAACTTGTTTTTTCACTTGTCCATTTGTATTTTCTAAACAAGTCTCAAATTTTACATGATTAATGACCAGATTTAATCAGAAGGAAAACTCTTCAGAGAAGAGCACATTTTAAATAGCACGTTGCCATACCCATACTTTGCATCCTTACTGAGTGATAACATAATACAATTAATGAATACCTTTCTCCCCAGTATAATTTCTTTGTCATCATGAGTAGAATTTAGTCCTTTTCATCTTTTGTTATGTCATGGCTTTTGGTGTTATATTCAGTGTTTGCAGTACCTGGCCCCATCAGGAGATCCAGAAAGGGTGATACTTCATTTATTCCATCACTACAGTCTTTGCTGTAAAGTTACTTAGCAATGCTGTTTTGTTATATGAAGTGTTTAGTAATGTAGTCATTGAAGTCAATATGACTTTCACAATTGATCTCAATCAGGTGAGGACCGTGTTGACTGTGACTTTGTCACCCCAGTAAAAGATGAACACTGTGCCCTTTTAAGTAATGTATCACACCTGTATTTTTGAGAGATCACTTGTAAAAAATGCCCTGGAAAAGGAGGGGAAGAGAGATGTGCCTGCTAGTGCCAAACTTACCTTCTGAATTCCCTTTCTGCTTGCAAGAGAAAAACGTAGGCTGTAAGGCATGTGCTGTATATTAATATTTGTTCAAGCTGTCTTCTCATACATTGACTTTCTGATGCTGCACAGTGTTCCCCTGCACTGTTTTCCAGCACAATGGCTAATGTCCTGCTTTGAAAATTATCCATTAAATTTTTATCAATTCTGTGTTTTGGTGAGACAGTATGAAGGAATGCCACTGGAAAATTAGATTCCTCTTTGACATCAGGCGCCCAGTCAGCAATCCAATCGCATGCATTTCTACTGAGACATTAGGATTTGATATAATTTTGGGCAGGAAACATTTTAAAATGAAACAATTGAATTTTCTGGATGGTCTTGGGGACCACTTAGCTTAAGAGAATACACTTCCAAATCAAAAGCTTTTCAATCATTATAAATATTATTTGGCTGATATTTGCTTTATGTGTAGTAGCAGTTTGAATTTGTATTGAGTGTTTGACTGGCTCATGCTCGCATAGATGATTTATGAAATTATTATTTCATATTTTTCTAGTGTTTGCATGGCAAGTGACATCTGGCTGACAGGAACTTGGAGAAATGGGATCCGAAGCGAATGCTGCAGTTATCACAGTATCATATTTGTCAAACGGCTTAAGGTTGGTCTGTCTTTGTTTAATGTATGAAACTCACAGCAGTGAATAAGAAACAGCACTATTTGTTGTGAAACTGAGCTGCTTAGAAAATGAAGATAGATGAAGAACAGAAGTTAGTGGCATTCTGCATTCTGTTCATAGATTTAATTTATGTAGACAATCACGCATTCTGGCTGAAAGACAGTTCTCAACTTGTTTGGAAGGGGTTTTTTGCTATTACACCTTTAAATTTTGGTTAATGTTATAGAATTCATACATACTAAATCACAGAGATAGGGAAGTCTGGAATAAGCTACTATAGCAGATTGGCACAGTTCTCTTTACACTGTAAGTGTCCAGCTACGCAAGTCTAAGGGTAAGTTTAATTCTGATTGCATTGTAACTGAAACGTACCTGTTGAAATGGAGTCTTCAAACAAACATACCCTAACACTTTCTCATGAAGCTGTTGATGTGTCATTTGTCTAATGGTAAATTCTATCTTGCTATATATATTTTTATATATATATAATATAATACAGATTTTTAAAGTTAGAATATTATTTAACAGTTCCAAGTGTGGTATGAAAGTGTATGATTTTCTTTACAAATATGACTTCAGCCTTTAAAAAGCATTTTCAGAATTCATTATGTTTGGGAGGAAGGTCTGCTGTAGTGTTACATAGTAATGATGAAAGTGATACAGATAAATGTCCAGCTTCTGCCATGCCCTGTCAGGGGAGAGGAATTGGCTGTAGTACTCTGCCTGGAAGGGTCTTTTGGATATTCTTTGTCATTGTCTTTGTATCATTCACCCCTACTGGTCATTAAGACCGTGGACTCTGTGCGGAGAAAACCCACTCCTACAGGATTCCTGTGTTGTGTCCCAGCTGTCTTGGAAAGGAAGGAGCATGGGGGCTGTTACACTTACAAATGTGGAGTTCAGAAGAGAAAAGCAGGAATGGTTCTATGGAGATGCTAAGGGTAGAATATACAAATATAATTATATTATATTTGTATATACAAATTATATACAAATATAATTGTATCTGTACTGCTGCCAAGTGATTTTCTGATCTATGAAGTTATCAAGCTGAGAACACTCAGCATCTTCCAGGACTTGGACCCTTCTTTTTAAACAGCTTTGAGCTCCAATTCACAGGAAGAAAGAACCGACAGTCATTTTTCTTTAGGTCTGCAATTACAAGGTCTATTTGGGAAACTTAACAAAAAAACAAAACAAAAGTGGGGCAAGAAGGCAAAGAAAACACTTCAGAATTGTTTAGAGAGGACAATTCTATTCCCCTAAGTGAACCTCAAGAGGAGCCCTTCTGTTTACTGGCGATATAAGGAATTTGCCTGTCCTCCTTTGTTAGAGATGAACAGTGTTATTACCCTCCGCTCCGCACTTTTCCAAACATGTCCGGTCAGTGAAGACCTACCCATTGCCATACTGGCCTTTCCTAGCAATCATGAATATGTTTTGTACTTGTAGATGAACATCACTAAGTGTTTACCTTGTGTTGGCTTAGGATGTTGTGGCAAAGAACTTGTCATGCAGGAAAAACTAAGTACATTATTTCTTGAAAAAAGAAGTCTTAGGTTTTTGGAGCTTTTCTGAACAGGTCCTATTCCCTGTTGCAATCACCAAATGTCCTGATGGTTGGTTATAGATGGAGTATTATATAGCATATTCTGCTTACCTGTTTTCTATGTTGTCACTTTTATGTTGAGCATGAACATTTTCTTTGTTTTCTCTAATTCTCAAGAGACCTGATGCAAGTCATTCCTAAAACATGCTCTTTTGTCCTTCTACAGTGAATGTCTCTAACACTCCTTGTCTCTTTCAGTTGAGGTGGGCCAGTCCCCATGTCTCGAACATTTGTGTCTTTTCTTACTTAAGAGAATCATTCATATACAAGTATTTTGAACTACTTCGAAACAAGCCTGCAAGTGCTACTGCCTCCTCTAGACCTAAAAATCACATAAGTCTTTATTTTTTCACTTCCATTCAGCAATGTGTTGTATTATGCTATGTAGTACTTCTGTCTCTAGTTTGTGTTATACAAAACAAAGCTGTTCTAGTTTCTTAGCCAATGTTATTTATGCTCTGTGATAATGTATATTACACTTGTATTTGTCTGCTTCTCCATCTTACCTAGCCACACACTCAGATTTTATCAGCTTCTGGTTAAGATTGCTAGACTTCCTGTATGCCAACACAAACAAAAAGCAAGGAAGTAAGTGGTTAAGTCATTCAACACCCCATTTACACTATTCTCTTCAGCACTCATTCTCAGTCTCGACTACCTCACTTTCAATGTCCACAGTCTGCACATTTCCAGCTTCACCCTGATTACATTATTTTTTTTCTCTTCACTATTGAAGGCAGTATTTCTTTGGCCCGCTGCATGATTTGATACTTTGAGTATTTGCACCCAAAACTAAGATGTCATCATTAATTACAAAATAAAAAGTCTGTATATCATGGTTGTTTGCTACATTGCAAGTTCTAAGACTGAAGAAAAACTACCTAGCTGTAGGACTGTCAATGGTAAGGCTGAAGATATATGATCTGCATTCTTTGTATTGAGATACTTTGGTAGACAGCTTTGGGATAAAATTTCCAAAACTATGTAGGGGTGAAAAGTCTTGGGATATTTCTGGTTTTAATCCTTTTATTTCCTATTTCTATTATTTCATCATTAGAAATTATAGAAAATTAGACATCTGTCCCTAAACTGGCGCACAGTTGTCTCTGTTGTACTTCCTTTCTGACTAGGTTTAGTCTTTCTGTCCTGTACTTTACCTTATTTAGCATTACAAAAACAACTGTGCTACTGGTCCAATCAGCCAGTGTCTCACTCCACCTGCAGTTAGGATTTTAGTTTCTCTTTGCAAATCTGATGTGGTCGTTTATGCTTGGTGTAATACTGGAATTTCTGTCAAAACAGTGGATCATCTTTTTAAGAGCTGAGGGTCTGGGAAACACTTCATTGTGTTCTTTAATATTGCCCCTTGTGTGTTGAGCCATGCTGCTTAATAGTTTGCATTTACAGTCTGTTTCACGGAACAAGGATAGGTCAGACTTGCTCCATTGATCTTTTGAACCTTCCTCAGACTGGGGGGAAAGTCAGACTCGTCAGAGGTCTGATCCCTTTGAAAGCTGGATCTTGGCCCTTTCTTCTGTAGGTGAAGATGAAAATGAATGAATGACACTATATAAAGAACTTCTCTTTTTCAAGAGAAGACTGGTAGCACCTACAGGTACAGATACTCTATAGGAACTGAGCTCTCTAGACAATGTTTGAGCTCTCTAGACAATGTTAATGTCAGCTGAAGTATTTGCAAGTGACTTTTGAGGCATTTTTAAGAAGCACTGTGTATATTTGTGCATGTATCGTAAAAGCCAGAGAAAATGCATTCTCTTTTATTTAAAGACTAAACCTAGTATTAGCTGTGGTAGACTGATGAACTGCCTGAGACATTTCAGCTCAGTACAATAGCAGACACTGAATATATTTTGTTTAGAGTTTGGTTGGCAGAATGCAGCATGTGGACATGAGCACACGGATGAAGCCACAACCCTGATATTTTTCCCTCTTCTTCCCTGTTTTGTTCCCAGCTCTTTCCTGTAGAAGAGTCTTCAGGTTAACAGCAATCCTGAGGTATAGTACCATAATAATAAAAGCACTCCAGAAAAGGTGGATTGGAAAAGAAAGAGGGGAATCCCATAGGGCAGCTCATACAACGCTGGTAAATGAAGTTCACACTTTGTGTTCTCACATTCAGAAAAAGTATAATTGAGACCACTTCCCTAAATGACAAGAGTCCATTTAAAGCTGAATTACAATTGACAGTAAAACATTTTAAAGATACTTTGTCCTTTCCTTGTTATTAACTTTGTTTTCTCTGTTATGCCAAAGGCAGTACGAAGATATAGAAAGAGAGGGAAAGAAGGAGAAGTGACTCTTGGCTCCAGGAAACAAAAGTTGTCATTCATTCTGCCAAATGAGGACCCCAAAGTACAGGCACTAAGAAGAATTTGGACTTGAAATATTTGGGGTTTTCCCCTTGTATTACATTTGTCTTCTGTCACTTTCTTCCCCCTTTTCTCTTGCTGTGTCATCTCTCAACAGATGCTTGAGGTCTAGTTCTCAACCACTTTAAACCCTACTTGAAGCACTCATTTTCCTTCAGATTCATTTACCTTCACAAAGTTTCAGGGTAGTTAAGAATGTTGCTTGCTTGAAACTTTGCTTTCACTAGTGGCAATACACTAGTGTGTTTGAAAGATACATGTCCTGGATTAGAAGAGTTTCTGTTCCTGTCCGTGGACATCTTAGATTAGAGAAAACAGGTATGGAAAGACCAGAAGGCCACTCATACCCCTCTTTTATGGCTAAATGTTGTTATGACACATCTGAAGGTGTTATGGTAACTGATTTTGGCCTAATCTGTTTAATGTTTTAGTAGAGTGTTTGCTTTTTCTCCCCTCTGTATTAACTTTCTAAGGTTGGAGTTCTGTGTTCTAATTGTTGAGGGGGTTGTATTTGTTTATTTTAAATGGTTTTGGTCCATATTAATAAAATGAGATTCTATTTATAGATTTTTGACTAGAAGAAATCACTGTGCCTACTCTGCAGGTAATCGCATGGCACTCAAACCAGAAAAACATCATTTGGAAGGCTGCTATAATGATGGTAATAGCTGTGAATTCCAGTGATACTTTTAGGGATGGACAGATCCTTCCAGGATATATGCGGTTGTCTAGTCCTTGTGAGCGGACTAATGCTTTTCCAAGTCCTCTGCAGAGATAAAATTTGACTCGAAGCTCATCAATCTGAGCAACCCCCTAGTAACAGCTATTTTGAAGTCTAAAATCCTTTAGAAACACACTTTCACCATCCACAAAGTTGACTTTGGCTCTGTTAGTAGAGGCCCTAATATCTCAGAAACACAGAGATCCCATTTCATATGTAAAAAAAAAAAAAAAAGGGATTTAGATTGTTATGCCCTAACCAT